CAGGGCAGGGGCTGGGGTGGGAGGGTGGGAGTGCCCCTTTCCAGAGCTGATGGGGGGTGAGGGGCTTCACTGGCCCCAGGTGACCATCTGTCACTCTGCTGACAGGTCCCCCCGGACCACATGGTCCCCCAGGACCCCCAGGTGCACCTGGATCCCAGGTAAGGCCTCTCCCATTTCTGTTGGGGGAGGGGACATTGGCTCCCTGGGAAAGGAAGAGCCAGGCTTGTTGCCTGCAGAAAGGAATTAGCCCATCTGGCCCCACCCCACCTGGGCCCAGGTGGGACCCAGGGGCAGGTAGTCATGGGACTCTTGTTTTACTAACAGCAGCATCCTTTGCTGCTTATTTCCTCAATGCCAGGCAGGAGTTAGCATCATGCCTGTTGCATAGATGTGCTGAGACCCAGAGGGGCCAGCGTCACAGAATGTTCACCTCAGCTTGTTATCCCTCCTCCCCAGAAATCGCCTATGTGGGAGGGGGCACCCCAAACCATGACTGGGTGGCCCCAGCCCTAGCTTGCTATGCCTTTCCAGCTGTATAACCTTGGGCTAAAAGGCAGCCTGTCAGGCTCTGGCTTCCTTGACTGCTGAGATGCGGGTACAGGGCCTCCCTTGTAGATTGTTACTGGAAGCAAAAGACAAATAAAATGCCAGGTGGAAGCGCTTCGTGCTGAAGGAACCCAGGGACCTGGCAGAAATCACACTGTGGAGGGAGAAGGGCCCAGGATGCCTGGTGGAGGCAGAAAGGGCGGGTTTGGGAATGTCCTCCCTCACAGAGCTCCCTACAGCCCCCATCCTGGACCTCATCCAGACCAAGGGCTCTGCTGCCCCGGAGCTCGGCTCTGGGGCAGAGGTGCTAAGAAGTGGCCCCACACTATAAGAGGTGTGGATCCAGGCCTTGGCCCTGTGGGCACTGGGACCTGGGGAGCCCCACACGTTCATTCATCCCTTTAGTCACTTGACAAATATTCCTCAAGTTCTGGGAGGGTGCTAGCCTCCCATCTGACCACAGTCGGGACCAGGGGCCACAGTCCAGCTCCCTAAAGCGTACATTCTAGACATTAAAGAACTGGTGTCCCCTGACTGGTTTGCTCCCTGGTGTCCCCACTGTGTGTTTCCACAGTAGGAGAATGCAGCATGGAGGAAGAGGGCCAGCTGGCGCACAGGCCATGGGGAAGGGTGGACAGCAGCTCTGACCAGGGACATGCCACACATAGCATAGGGCAGAGCAAGAGTGGATGTGGTACGGACCAGGCTGGCAGGCAGGGCCTGGGCTGGGGCAGGGGCTACAGAGGGGGTGGGGGGGGCCCCAGGTCTGATCTGCTCCTGAGTCAGGTGGGGTGGGCCAGGTATGCCGAAAGTCTAGGCCCCCCAGGGTTACCCTCCTGTCCTCTCAAGCCCCCAGCTACAGGCCCTGGAGAGAGGAATTGGGAGACAGGTGAGAGAATGACCGTGACCAAGAGGACTGTGGTGAAGGACGAAGAGGCCCAGGGAACCTAGGAAGTGGCTGGGGGAGAAGCCTGGCTGAGCTCCATACCCTCAGCAGCTCTGTGCGGGGTCCCCTCCAGCTGCCCCCGCCCACAGCCACAGGCACGGTCAGGACGGGTGTTCCCAGCCCTTCCCCTACTTGCTCATGTCCACTGCTTTCAGGAATCCCATCATTGAATCCCAGCAGCGACGGGAAGTGGAGGCTCAGAGAGTTTCTGTCACTTGCGGGAGTCACACAGCAGGGTAGCAGAGCTGGGGTCCTGGCTAGGCCAGGATGACTCCAGGCCCCCCTCAGGCTTTCCCCAGCTGCCTCCGGCCCTTGCCAAGCTTGCAGGGGGTGCTTTGGGGCAGCCTGATCTTGCCAGTCTATTTTCAGGGTCTTCCAGTCCCTTGAGGGCAGATCCCCAAGTGGCTGTGTAGACCATGTCCTTGTAGGGACCCCAGTCTGCAAGATTCCAAGGAGGTGCAAGGGGTCCGAGCCTGAGCTGCTCATCCAGCCCCCCTCGAGAGGGTATGACCAGGTATCAGCATGAAGGATGTTTGGGCTGCTGGCATCTTGACCCCTTAGGTCCTTACTGTGGTTTATCCCTAAGGCCGGGGACCTATGGCCAGGGCTGGGATACCAGAGGGCACCAAGCCTGTCCCTGGCTCTCCAGGGCCCCAGTGGACAGGCCCCGAAGAGCCCCTTCCAAGACCCACTGCCCTGCCAGGGCCTGTCCAGGACCCCACATGGCAGGGATGGAGATAGATGCCAAGGTTAGCCCACTGACAATGTCCGAATGGCCACCAGCCTCCTCTGCTCACCACAGAGGGGCCAGACTGTGGCTTCACTGTGGACGGTGGGGCCAGCCTGATGACCCAGTCATTGTCTCCTTCCCTTGCCCAGGAGTCAAGGCCTCTGGGATTTGGAGGCTCCTCCCAGGCATGGGTCAGATAGAAGTGAGAAGGGATAATGATGGGGGACCAGGTGGCCCCTACTCTCGCCTCTGATTGGGACAGACTGGGGTTTGAACCCTCGCTCTGCCAGTTTCTAGCTGGTGATCCTGAGCAAGTCACTGACCCCTCTGGGCCTCAGTTTCCCCATCTGTGAAATGGGGATGAAAACCCCTCCTAGGCAGGTGAGGAATCAAAGGGGTAATAGACAGAAAATGCATGACCCTGAGGAGACCCTTAATAAATGCTATTCATGAACCAGACATCTCCTGGGTCCTCACTTGTGACATTGTACTGGGCACAAGGACAAGGACATGGGGACCCCTGCCCTCTGGTAGTTGATAGTCTAATGAGGGAGGCAGACAATGAAAAGGAAGTGTCATGGAAGAACTAAATGAGGTGATGTGACAGTAACTGGAAAAGGGCCTATTGCGACAGGAGGGGAATGACAGATGTGAGGAGGTGACACTTTGGCTGAAACCTGAGGGACCAGAAGAGCAGCCATGAAAGATGCCGAGAAAGGGCAGTCCAAGTAGAAGAAGCGTGAAGCCTGTGAGGCAGGGAGGAGGCTGGAACGTGCTGGGCAAAGACGAGTGTGGTCTGAGACGAGGCAGAGTGGGCAGGTCCTTATCTGCAGGGCTGAAGTGAGGGAGGCTGAGTGTCAGGGAGGAGAAGCCATAATCTGATTTATATCTTTAAAAGGCCCCTTGGTTATTGTATGGGGCATGAAAGGCAGGGCTGGGGGCACAGGGAGTGGAGCAGGGAGATCAGGGAGGGGGCCGCAGCAGCGCAGAGGGGGAGACTTGAAGGCAATTTGCATTAAGGTGGTAGCAGTGGAAGTGGCCAAGTGAACGGACATATTTAGCAAGTGGACCTGACAGGTCTGGCTGATTGAATAAATTTGGTGAGTGAGGGAAGGAAAGGGAAGGTGAACTAGGTGTGTGCGGAGCTGCTGGGAGGACCATGGAGACATTGCCCAAGAAGGGTGACTGTGAGGTGGGGGCAGGTATAAAAACCAGGAGTTCACTTTGGGGAGGTGGAATGGGGCGCCTCCTGGTCGGCCTGGTGGGGATGTTGGAGGACGGCTGAACAGCTGGGTCTGGGGTTCTGGGGAGCCGTCCGCTGGGCACCAGGTCTGATGGGGGTCCTCGTGTGGGACTCTTGCGGTCACCACTGCTGTCACTCAGCCTTACATGGGGGAAAGGGATGCGTGCTTTTCCATCCATTTCCCTTTTCCCTGTGATGGGGCATTGCCCCATTTTGCAGGTGAAAAGACCGAGGGCTCAGCTGAGGCTCGCTGAGGAGCCAATGCAGGGTGGCTCCAAGACCTGGGAGACCCCCAAGTATGACCTTCTAATTTCCTCCACACCATCATCCTCCCTCCTATATTTTTCAGATCCAGAGCCCTGTGCGGGGGG